TTTAACAGGTATATTAACAGTGCAAGGAGAAATATCATTTTTTATTACAAATTAACATAGAAATGAGCAAAAATTATTGTTTTTCAGCTGTAGAAAAATTATTGTCATCCAGTGCAGGGAAATATTGCGTAGGTGATGAAATCACATTAGCAGACTGTTGCTTAATACCACAGATATTTAATGCAAGGAGGTTTCTTGTTGATTTAAGACCTTTCCCAACAATTTTAAGGGTAGATCGTCATTTAGAGAATCATCCTGCTTTCACTGCAGCTCATCCAAACAATCAGCCTGATTGTCCCCCAGAGGCAACCAAGTAGCAAGCAAGGCAGACCACCCTTTTCCTCTTCTAATTTATTAGATACAGGAAGGAGGTGGTCCATGTTGTGGTTCTATAGTGACAAAAGGTGATGCAATTTTATTTTCAATAAAATTACTAACATATAATTATATTAAAATGGATCATGATCTGCGCATCGATATTTTAAAGTTTAAATATTAATTAGGTCTTTTTACACTTGTGTACGTTGCATATTGCTGACTTTGAATGTATCATTGAATTTTACAGATGCAAATATTTTTTTTGTTTTACTTTTTATATGTTAAATTTTAATACCTTTTGGTAAGAGTACACACCTTTTATCACTTACGAACTACGTTTAGGTACCGAAATGGTAAACAGTGTAGAGAATAGGGTATTGAACTCTACGAGAATTTTCAGTTTGTACGTAAAAATTGAATTGCGTGATGTACTATCTGTTTCCAAAGTGAGAGAAAAAAAAAAACACTGTGCCATTTCTGTACTTATCCAGAGGATAAGAATGTTGGCCTATTTTTAATTTTTTGTTATGTTTTTTCATTGGTTTTTATATACACAGAATCAAAATTAACAAAATTCGTCTTCGTACAGTACTTACAATATTACTTTGTAAAACGTACTGACCTATTATAAATAGGTTCTGTTGTCTGAAATCAAAAGTTTACTTTTTATACACTTACGATAATATAATTTTTCGATTAATTTTAGCTTACATAGAATAAGGAGAAGTGTTGCTATTAAAATAATATTAAAATATAACTTGAAATTCTTTACCGAGTATAAAGTAGCAGATTTGACATTGCAAGCACACACATACTCACATACACATTGAACTAAAATAGAAGTGGAAACGTGTAATAAGGGAATGCAATCTGCTCAAAACTCCGTAATAATAATAATTGAGGAATGAAAAGTACAAATCAAATTCCTTTTCTAAAGCTTTTATCATTTGGTACATTTCATTTCTCCCTGTAAACTAACACGTCAGTCCATAAGTGAGCATTTTAAAAATATTAGATACGAGGTAAATTTCGATTTTACAATATTTTCTCAGCGTTAAAGAATAATAGGGGGAAGGTGTGCTCGATTTTGATATGTGTGCGACATAAGTTCGTAAAACGTGAATAAGAATACGTTGATTCTTCTTAAACATTCCATTGGGAGAAAGAAAAGAAAATGACGGAAAATTAATGGAAGAGCATCGTTAAAATTTTCACTCGAAAGGGTTAAAACGATTTTCTTTACTCGACAAACTCTATCAAATTGATAGAAACAGAAGTACGACGATCCCCGTAGAAACTTTCCAATGATATTTTTGCGTTTCAATATTGAGCACACTCTCGAAGACTTTACAGTATATTTTTTGCAAGGGGTAACCTTTTTATATAGAGATACATTTTTTATCGTATCGCCTATATTGTATAACTTCCATATATTTTGTAGTTTTATACACGAACGATGCGTTTATTGTGTGCGACAAAGGTGACAAACGTCGATCGACGAAATCGAAATGCGTGTCAATAATAACTTTATCGGCATTGTTCCTTATTGTCGGGTTCCTTCTTGCCGTTCTCACTTTCCACGAAAGTAGAAAAGCAAAAAGAAAAAGACTAATCTTCATTTGTAAATCGTGTTACGATAGAAAGGGAAGAGAAAGAAGAACAATTGAAAATTCGACGATAGTCGTTCGTACACACATTGTCTTTGTAAATGTATTTTTACTTTCTGTTAAGAAACGAAAAAACCGTACTATGTAACAACGGAGGGGTATTTGTTTGCATGCTTCTTCGAATTAGACGATTAGAAATCGTTATAATTTATAATTCTAACGAAGAGAAGAATAGGAGTGGGAGGTGGAAGAACAAAGACATACATTTCATACTTAGACGTGTGCATTATGCAAGCGAGTGATTAGATAATAATGTATATAATTTTTATACAAGACAAGTTCGGATGTTGCATGCAGAGAACAGTTTCGGTACTGTTTCAGTACCGATTTTCAACGAGTATGTCTTACATATATTAGGGAGATTTTTTATAGTGGTACGCATAAGGAAAGAATGCAAACAAGTGACACCCTTCGTGCGTGATCGCACAAAATGATTCCCTTTTTTTTTTTTTATATATATTCGTCGATCTCTTTTCTGTTAACGTGGCGTAAAAGAAACATCGTGTGTAACAAAACGCGACGTAATACAAGAATACGGCGAACATTGAACCAAGTGTCATCGTGATCGCGTGGAGAATAAGAAGGGAGTAGGAGAGCGGAACTTTTTCCTTTGCAACTCTCGTGATATTTGTTACACTTATAACGATTGAATGTCGAGGCTAGAGAAATGGACAATTCTCGTGGCGAATATTTCCGAGCGATGAAGAAAAGAAAAAAAAGAGGAAAATTATTGATCTATTATTATATACCTTTTAGCAAAGTAAGGTAACATACGACGAGAAATTTGTACAAAAAGAAATTTCTGTTTGCATCGACTGTACCGAACGATAGAAAGTACTTTTGTCTTTGTAACGGTGTTCTCGATGCGAGGTCGACGAAAAATGAATTCTCCATTTCTCTGACGATTTCGCTTTCTTCTTCTTTTTTTCTTCAACAGAGAAAAACCGATAAGCTATACCTACTTTTTTTTTAGCGTACACCGCTTTTTCACTGTTAGCTTGTTCGCGAATCACGTTCAGAGCCCTAAAAGTAAAGAAAAACAAAAAGAAGAAACGGGAAATAAAACAGATTTGACGAGGAAAGAAGAGATGTATGAAGGGATGGTGAAAAACGTAACGCTAGAATCGTTGTATAGTGTTGGAGGAAATAAGGGCAATAATGGATTAACCAGTTATATAGAAGTTCATTTTACCGCTGGTCCTAAGTAGAGTTTAGTTAGTTAGAGCTGCGTAAAAAGAGAGAGAGAGAGAGAGAGAGAGAGAGAAAACAACACATTGTGTAAAAGGATGCGTGAGGAAACTTTGTAGAAGGAGCAAATGCGAGTATGTATAATAATTAACGACGCAAAAAAAAAAAAAAAATAAAATAAAGAAGAAAAAAGTTAAAACGTGAAACGAAATCACCGGCATATGAGTAACGCATAGATATTTTGTAAGTGAAATAAAACAAAAAAAAAAAAAAGAAAAAAGAATGAATTATGTACGTTCACTGCTTATGAGGAATAATAAATTCTGTGTCATAGTGTATGTATAATTAATTTGTAGATGCGAAGGTAAAAACGCTGTCAAACGAAAACTACGAAAAAGTACATTATGTGAATGTGCACTTATCACTCGAATAAAAAGTACCTACATTTTGACTGTAGCCCGTGTCGTATCTCAATCGAATCGTCATAATTTCGTTTCATCTGCAAAATTACCCGTGCCGACGAAGCAGGAGAGAAAAATGAAAATAAGAAAAACGCAACTTACCCCGATAAAAAGAAGAGAGTGTCACGAGCGAATCGTTCCATCGCGGAATAGTCCCAAACGAGAGATTCGGTATCGCGGAAATTTAAAACTGAAACAAAGTTTGGGCAATTTGAAGCGTGAAACGAAAAATCCGGAAAAAAGAAAAAAAAAGAAGAAAAAGGAAGAGAACGTCGGACTCGCTTCACATCGGTATCGCTCTGTTCTCTCTCTTTCGACAAACACAAGCGCTGAACTCGGATATCTTTTTTCTGTTATATCGTGTGTGTGTGTGTGTTTTTTTTTCTCATATTCACATTTTTCAATATCTTTATTACAAATCCATCGTGTAAAAAAATACATTCCCTTATCTATAACTGACTAGTTGGAACGGTACCCATATTTTTTTCTTTCTTTCTTTCTTTTCTTCTTCTTCTTTCCTATATATATCATTTTGTACGCTGAGAATTGTTTTCGTCTCTTTTTTTCTCGTACGCTCACGTGAAATGCACGAGGAACCACAGACTCACTTCCGGTTCCTCTTGGTACCGCTTTTTTTTCTACTTCCCGGTGATATGCTACAATCGCAACGTTAACAATAACAACAACAACAACAACAAAGGTGGGCGACAGAAGGTGACAGAGAACGGCTGATAGAAGAATAAGAATTAGGTGAATTAATATTAAATTCGAATTATTCTAATATACGCTACACCTCTGCGCTTATTCTTTGCGGCGTTCGGATATGTGCATCGGAAAAAAACAAATACTGCATCTACACAAAGGGACCTTTCTCTTTTTCCTTCCTTTTTTACTTCGCACACGGATCCTCTCTCTCACGCTTATCTCGTCTTTTTTTCTCGGAATCACGCGGTCAAAAGACGAGATAGACCGTGTCTTACTTACACGCCTTACAAAATCCTTTCATCCCTTGTTTCACGCGTAACCCGTGTCTATATACATAATATATAAAAAGAGGCTTACAAGCTACGTATATCGAATCGAGTGAAATTTCTTTACATCGTCGCATTCGCAGGTACATCATGCTACTACCGTCGTAATTATATATATATATATATTCGATCTCTCTCTGGTGTGAGTTTTCTATCGAGATTTGGAAGGTTTCCGAGATCCTTCGAGGGGCAGAGGATCGTGTACGGTCAGACAGAACGCGTGGATAACGAATTACACATCTCGAAACTTACGATTTCTTTTTAAGCAGAAAACCTTCCTAATTTCGACAAAATTACAATTGCACAGGATCCGTCGGGCTTTTATAACAGGAAATCGACAAATACGAATAGGAGAAGCAAAAGGTAGATAGATAGAGAGAGATATAGAAGAAATAGAGGATTAATTTTCTCGAGAAAGAAAACATGGTAAAAATATCGATCGAAGGATATCCTGTGGATTTTTCTCTTGGAATATTAGAAATCTCTTTGTGAATGAAAAGAAAGAAAGAGAGATAGAGAATAGAGAGAGAAATGCGTATGACGATCATACTGCGACACTGAATGTGGACAAATGGATGGATCGATGGAGAGCAAAATGGATGGACACGTGTGGCCAGGTCATGAAATGAAGAACAACAGAATGCATTTAATGAGCGATTG